GAGGTGGGTTTTTTGCTCACACACATTCCTTTGTTTTTGACTAAGATAGCGAATCGCTCCACGCCATCAGTGTCAAAGATGAAAACCCTGCTGGGACTGTTATTTTAAGTGAAAATATCCAAGAATTGTCTGGATCTCTGCATATGACTCACCACTATGAAAATAATAGTTCTGTAAGTAAGTCTAAGTCTGTAAGATTTAGATCCATGTCGAACTCATTTCTCCTCCTTTGTCGTGTTTAGCGTATTCATAGGCAGGCCACACACAGCACTTTTAAAGGCACACTTCATGCTGGGGCAGGGGTGGGATCATCTGGAGCAGTGCGCCCTCGTCATTGATGAGCCTTTCGGCCTTCTCTGCAGATAAAATGGAGTGGCTCTCATCTATGAAGAGAGCGCACAACTTCACATGGCTCCGTACCTAGGTGGTTCCTGGAATTTATTCGAAGACAGAATTCACGATGAAAAGTTAGCTCATTGGAAATAAGGGTAGAGGTGGTCAGTGGAGCAGGGATGAAGAAGAAACCATTTGAAACGGCCCAAACCCGAGAAATGGGACCCCTTCCTTGCCCGTTGATTTGCGCATTGATGCGACTCTCATCGCTGTGCCCTCTTCAACACTACGCTCTCTCTGCTATCTAATCACTCGCCACGTATAGACCTGCGGCGAGTGATTAGATGGTCGGTGGGCGCGCCAAGAGTGAGCCATGCTAGATCGCCGAGGTCAAATCTTTCGCTGCCAATTGCGCGTCAGTCAGCACCCTCAGGAGGTCCGCCTGTCTCCCAACTATGCAATTTTCCCCTTCTTCGACCTTCATTCTTATCGTGAATTCCTCCTTTAAAGCAATGGCCCTACCAGAACCCATACTTTTGCTACTATCGCGGTGGAAAAGCTGCCTCAGCCTTAGTCAACAACACAAGAAGTGCCGTTGAACAAAAAAAACTCACCCACTTGCTAGCGAGAGAGATCGCGTGAATGACTGTGTGGTCCTTGCACGATTGCGTGTAATTTGTTCCTAGTTCCAAGGAATGCCGCTCGTTTAATTATTAGTGCATATATTCTGTTTGTACCGCCGCATATGCGATTGCAGCCGTATTTCTTGCAGCATGAATGCCAGCGGAGTAAGCTAGTGGGGACAGCTCATCCCCCCCCCATTCCTTATTTCAAGGGGAAGAGAGGAGTCCTTGTTTACAGCCTCATCGGGGCCTTTCTTTGTTTCTTTTTCCATTTCCGGTGAAGTCGCCATCCACAAATTTCATCATCGACCGCATTTACCCGCGAATTCTATCTGCAGTTGTTGCTTTGAGTACCGTATAGGCCGCGTTCATAGTTCGCGACTCAGGAGATTAGGATAGTAGGCGACAGGATATTAGGATAGTAGTAGAGTAGGAGATTGCGCGGACAAGACTGGATACGTATCGATTGACATCGCTGGAGAGTAGTAGATTGGGCGACTTTAACCCTTTCCGGACCGCCTGACACACATGGTGTGTCAGGAACTTCAAGAGCTGATTTTTCCAAGAGTTTGGTTTTTCGATAAAATATTTTATGTTGTTACATACCTATGTAACAGACTCATGCCATATGTATGAAAAAACCTAGACTTTAGGTTTAATCTAGGTTCTAAAATAACCAAAGAGTAAATGGACTTCCACTTTGGGCTCAAAGAAAACAGTTGTAGTTCGCTTGAAAACACTTAAAAACGAAGAATTTGTGAAATATCCTGCTCGTCGTATCTGATTCTTATGGATCCAATCGTTTTGGGCACGTTCTACTCCCTTTTTCTCCATACCAACTTATTTTGAACAATTTTCGTCCCTTCCTCCCTTTTTATGGCCCTTTCCCTTTTTTTGCAAAACAGTTTTCTGTCAAATTAATCTTATATATTCTTCGAGACATGACAAAGACATAAACGAGACAAAATAATGGCTTTAGTGGGAATACAGATTAAATATATGATATTTATGCTTGCCGCGCAGCATGCGGCCGTGAGCGCAAAAAGTGCGCGGTCCGGAAAGGGTTAAGCGAATAGATCAACACATATCTAATCTTGTCAGCGCACTATCCTAACTCTGCTACTATCCTAATATCATGTCGACTGCTATCCTAATCTCCCGAGTCGCGAACTATGAACGCGGCCATAGATTGCAACAAAATGAGTCTGTGGGATGGGGGGATGGTGTTGTTAGATATAATGTTCGAAAAGGATTTTGAAGGCATGCGCTAAGCATGAGAAGCAGCTCACGTGCGGTGCGGAATTCGAAGGAAGAGACACCACTATGAAGCGAGTTGCGGATCTGAAAAGAATTGGAAACCATAAGTAGGTAAAGTATACTGAAATACATTGCTTTGAATTTTTTTAACGATTCGGAACTCTATTTATTACAGAATGATGTTCGAAAGGGAATGCAGCAACAAGGATTTCATCACAAGGACCTATCCATGTGTTGGCAAAGAAGTTAGCAATTGGATTCGGCCGTGCTCGGAGGTGAGCTCTCATTAATCCTTGAGGATACTGTAGACGTTTTCATGAGAACTCAAATTGTAGTTCGGGAGGGGGACACTTTAGTGCTGTTCATGAATATGAGCGCTCATGACACGTAGTCGACTCATTTGAAAACACTTGCTGATGAGTATCTTATGAAACTACTCGTGAGGCTTTCCCATTTCGGCCAAAAATGGTCCGAGAAAATGGTCCCGAACTAGTGGAAAGGACATCTTTGTCTAGACCTAAGGGCGGAGGAGCTCCACGGTGGGTGATCAAATGCAAAAAATCGGATGGAAGGCGTGTGTTGGGATTCAGGACACCCACCGATCCTTATCGAGGGTACCTTACGAATGACTCGTTCACATATCATCTTACTCTTACAAGTTAGTGTCAGAAAAGGAAAGGAATGCCCCTTTCCCTCGAACTCTTTTTTTACCTGGAAGTCTTCATAAAATGGTTATGCACCTTTATCGGCTTAGGTGTCAGGAACGGTGACTTCTCCACGACGGTAATTCACTGCAGTCTCAGAGTCTACCGACCTTCGTGGAAAGTGCTCTGAAAGAAATCCACAGCTAAATTCTGTCGGGTACTTCATAAAAGTGATAAAATAAAGCCTGTAATAGCTCGCAAGGATGTAACTAAATGTTGGAGCATAACCTGATAGAAAGATTAGTGCACCGACTTGGGCAAATCCTGGCATCTTACGGTTAGTTAAGGGATCTCCGTTTTTCAACGCTCGCAATGCTAGTTTCCGTGAAGTAATGCTGCCATAAGCAATATATTGATATCTAATTAGTGCTTATTAAGTTCTAATGAGTGAGAAGATTAGATTCTAAATGAGTGAATTAAGTACTGGAAGTTGTTTAGCAAGTCAATGCCTACTCAGCAGTACGTGACAGCGTCAATCAACGCATATCGAGCACCTATGACACCGCTGTGGCGAAGGTGAAGGCTACTATTGGGTGAGTTCATGCTTTGAATTTCTTGCTATTGTTGCACATAACGAGTTGTCCAGAATGTTCCGCGACACTTTAAAGGTTCCTGATCGCACAATCTTTTCTTGAATGAATCATTCAACACAAGATGACCAGCTTCCGGTATATAGGCGACCTACCCTTTTTCAGGGCAGCTTCTTAAATATTTTACCTTAAACGTTATTCTTCGCTGAAAAGGCCATCGACCCATTTTCGAATTGACCTCAATCATCATATTCCTTTGCCTCTTTGCTTATGACGTATCAGCGCACTAATTTTATTTATTAATTTATTTGTTTATTGATTTATTTGTATACTGATTCATTTATTTATTTATCGATTTTTATATTCGTAATAATTACATGATAGTCAGAAGCTACTAATTTAGAAATGATCTCTTCAACATATTAGCTTATTTCATCATGAAGCTAATTTGACATGAAGAACATTGAATTTGAACCAAAGTCGGCCAGAAATTATGGATCAACCCAATAATATGAATATGTTGTCAGTTTAGAGATTCAGAGCGCAAATTACAAGCATCTGCTAATCCGTTCCTTTTAACACGTTGACGACAACGCGCGTTTTGGGTTTTTGCACCGCGTGGGACCACGGCGATTTTGCAGGCGCCGCCGCCTCACATCAAATCCGTGAATTTTGAGCTTTAAATACCCAAAACTCGGATGCAACAAAATGTTTAGAATGATATTCGATGTGTCAAACTTATCAGAAGGGACAACTGTAAAAAATCGATCGAATTGACGTTTTCTGGCGATGAAAGGCAAGTTTCAGTTGCTTTTGCTGCAGTGAACCTCAAAATTATTTTTGACGCGGTTGCTCCACTAAAAACATATGTCTTGCTATGGGTCTGTACTTACTTCTACTGCTCTTTTTTATGACCAAGATTATCCTTCTATTTTATAAAGCGCTAACTTTGTGTGTCGGTTTGTGTATCTGTATGTGTGTGTGTGTGTATGTATGTGTGTCCGTCCGCAAAATGAAGTGAGTGAGAAGGAAGCTCATGGGATAAACAAACCGCTAACAAATCGGGTAGCTTACAGGATTTGAGATATCAATGTTTTGTAGCAGGATAGTTGTGATAACACTCTTAGGGCTATATAAACACCTGCTTAGCACACTTCCGTTCATTCCACATGGTGCTGCAGTGGCAGCTGGAGGGCAGTGGAGAGAGGAAGGGAGGATGAGGAAGGGAAGCGAAAAATCTACCGTCATATCATGATTGTGTCCCTTCTACTGTATGAAACACCATTGTGTTGCATACGCGTCACTTCCAGGAGGTGTTGGTGTCACAGGAGGAAGGGACCATAGCGGAGGATAGAAAGCTTGCGCAGGAAAGGAAGGTCCCGGCGGTTGACGGGGGACTAATCTGGTCAGAATATAAATAAACTAGGAATGAACACAATTGGGAAATTCGTAGGGCTTAGAAAACCTTCGCTAAAAAGGAGCATATTCAACCATTCAATGAACCTCGCCGTGTCTAGTCATATTATGGTGTAGTCTATGGAATAGATGCAAAAAATTAGAAAAGAAGTAGCGCATGCGCGAAAAAAATAAATATTGTGTGTGCAGCGCATGCGCTGCACACGGTCCCACACGGTGCTCAAGGTGTGATGCGCATGCGCTGCACAATGTCGTCAACGTGTTAAGTAAAGTAAATGAAGTAAACAATCTGTCAGTGGTATGTTTACTACCCCGCAAGAAATCTCGAACTCATCCAGAACACAAGAAGTCTGCAGTTCGCTGACGAATTGAATGCAGAAGCAGGATTAGGTCATTGGATTGAACCCTGACGCAAAAGGTGGAATTAATGGCAAGCGTTGGAATTGTGCCGATCCCGCTTCACAAAATTGCCAGACAAGGGCGCTAAAGCGTGGGCTACACACGAGGTTTCACCTACAATTCGGTGCCCCCTCCTCTCCAAGATTCATCATGGGCCCATTCCCTCTCGCTCGTATCCATGATCTCTCTTCATCGACTCTTTTCCCTCTCCGTGGCAATCAGTATTCATTCTCACTGTCTCTCTTTCGGAACACTTCCCGGAGTAGAAAAGCAGTCTACTTCGGGCGTTCTTGGAAGATTTTTTATTTCCTTCTTCACTATTGGTTAATTTCGCATCAGTATCTCGTAACCCTCCACGTTTTCATTTTCATATAGAATAGCCATACCAGCTAGATCCCGGGCCGCGCCCGTTACCAACGGATTGGGATCCGGACTTGCGAACAGCCACACATGAGTTTAATGCGAAGTTCCGTGACGGCTCAGGTTCTTTTTTTACCAACCACCTCATCGCTGATCTCAACTCGGGCGATGTATAGGGTGGGCCAAAATTATGGTAACCAAGACAAAATATCGCTGAAAACGAATCTTAAGCTAATGAAGCAATCCAACTTCAAAAAAATGTTTGCCACCAGTGTCACAGCAAAGCTAGGTTAGGTTCGAAATCTCTTAACTATTGCAGTTATAAGGCTTCTAGATGAAAAGGGGAATGTGTGCACGACGGCACGGAAGTAAGACGCGTTGAAACGATTTCAAGTTATTTGTTGTGCCCTGCTCGAAGAATCATACTTTCTGAGGTTTTAATTTGCCCTTGCTTCCAGGTTTAGTATGCAGAACATTCGGCTGAATTTGGTGGGGGATTCATAACTAACAGTTGTTCGAAGACAGGAACTTGAAAAAACCCTATCTGCAGGATTTCTTTTTGTCTAGCTGTCTTGTCCTACCGAAATGTTTAAAGTAATGTGCTTCAGTGGCTTCTTGGTCATGATAGGCGTTAGATCTTATGTGTGTCTTACCATAAGTGGTCTTTTACATCATTTTCTTCAATTTGGCAGTACGAAAATCTCAATGAGGAACACGAGCTTCAATAGGAGCTTCTGCATCTAATAATTGTCCCGGTGGTATTACAATCTTCGGATCTCCTTCTTCCATCCCAGGTGATTAGTAACTTATCGAAGCGTTTAAGCGCTATTCGTAAGAGCTTCTTTGTCACGTTAAACTGTCGCTAGATAGAGCGTGGCAGAGCTCCTTGTCATTTTGAGGATTGGAATACCGTGTGGTTATTTCACTAGTTTGGCAAACATTATAATATTTGGTTTCATTAGAGAGACGAAATTGTCCTCTATCACATTATGCCCAAAAAGGAATACCGCGCGCTTCAGCGGTTACCTCTTGACCTGCCTTGTACCGGAAAGATTTCTCTTTCCGCATTCGTTACTGTAATTACACGAAAATGATTTGGTTAAAATGGTGTAGATGTAGATTTCTTCAGTGTTTGATACTTGTACCTTTTTGAAAGTTACCACTACACTATGCTATGAGACCTTACACTTTTATGAGCCCACTATATGGAGCGGAAGAATTTCATGATGATCGCTCAGCTGATGATTGATTCATAACTCGGAGGCGTGCAGGTGTACATATGTACTAATTCATAAGGATTCACCCACGCCAAGTCAATCTCGTAAGTGCGATTGGCTGAATAAACATACGGCACGAAGAGTAGTGCTAGAAATAAGATAAACTCCCAACTTCGTTGTGGTCATTCGAACAGTGAGGCTTTCTCGTGTCAATGTTTAATTTTACTGAGAATTTCACTTCTTTAAATCAAAAAAGCAACCATATTGTAGCAGCAGCCAAAAAGAAGTACGTGTGGGCAAAATGTTATGACTTGCTCAGAATCGAAGGTCATGCCAGCGTTAGCGTAGTGATCCGAACTGATCCTGGTAGGCCAGCCACTGATCAGGAGTTTTGTGTGTAGCATTGACACAACTCTCGAGTAGCTAGTCTTGAGCCTGGCTGCTGCTCAAGGCGCATTCTATTTCCAAAGGTTCGAGTTGTTGCGCCCGAACGTATAAGTTAGTGTGCTTATTGATCCTCACGTAATGAAAAATGGACAAAGCTGCTAGGTGCGAGCTGATTGCGTGGGCGTGGTTTGCACCTGCCCCTACCGGAGCCTCATCGGCGGGTTAAGAGACCTCCGTAGGGTGAGAGCAAACCCCACCGCTCCCCTCACTGGCCTAGACAACTCAACTCCTAGACAAGCACTGATTGGCGTACAATGTTTGTCTAAGAGTTCTTGGTAGATTTTTTTCTTCATTGCTTATTGGTCCACCATACGTCAGAAGTGGAGCCATTTTAGGACGCAGTGACCCACACCTATTCTATCCCACAATATGCCTTTAACTTTGCTCACTCTCGAACTGTACCCTTCTTTATATTTTTGCGCCATATAATTTCGAAAGAAAATCTCAATTGGGCTTCTTATGGTTATGTAGTCAATGAAGTGTTTCGGAAAGTTTCACAAGGCGAACTGCGGCCAAAAATAACAGTTATCAATCAAAAACGGCTGCGGAAAGTGTCTCCCATGAAAATTGTCCAATTAATTGCTTGTTGTAGAAAGGAAGGCCGGCAAGAGAAAACAACAATGAAAACATTAATTTAGCAATTTTTCCCAACTGAACTACAATATTTTAGAGAAGACAGGAAAGAGGATCTGCGGACTTTTGAAAAGGCGATGAACTCGATAGCCTTACTGGAAGGATCAAAATGTGGACTCTTCAAGCAGGTAATATAATATTGGTATTTGTTTATCCAAATTCGCCGTCCTAGACGGGGTATCACAGCGACTATGACTTTTGCGAAGTGATCGTTTTCAAGAGTCTGTTTAACTAGGAAGTCCTTTGAAGTTTTTAAAGCATGCATAAAAGCCTCTTTGATAAATCCCATCTAGTCAACCTCGCCACCAATTTTTTAGGAGCTTTGCTTTTTTAAATCTCTTTCCGCTGTCCCCGTCTGCGATCCCCTTTTATTAACCCTTGTGTTCACTTTTATCATCGGAGACAAACAGTAGCACAACATTGGAACACATCAGTGGGTACTCACTAATGGGACCGGCTGACTAGTACGGGCTGTAACTTCTCACCTCTGCGCAGATGGTGCTGTTTATTAAAGGACGAATTCACGATGAAAAAGCAACCCATTTCAAATTAACCTAGGGATGGTGAGTGGTACACGAAAGAAGGAAGAACCATGAGAAACGGCCCAGAACCCGAGAAATGGGACCCCTTCCTTGCCCGTTGATTTGAGCATTGATGCGACTCTCATCGCTGTGCCCTCTTCAACACTACGCTCTCTCTGCTATCTAATCACTCGCCACGTATAGACCTGCGGCGAGTGATCAGATGATCGGTGGGCGTGCACTGGCCCACCGCGCCAAGATTGAGCCTTAATAGGTCGCCGAGGTCAACTTTTCGGTGCAATTGCGCTTCAGTTCGCACCCTTAGGAGGTCCGTGGGTCCCTCAACTAGGTGAATTACTCCTTCTTCGACCTTCATTCTAATCGTGAATTCGTCCTTTAAATGTTTAGATGCGAGTATGCGTGCTACGACGGCTTCTTGAAAAATGTGGACCGGAGGCGATGAAAGCGTTCAACACGAGTATTAGCCTTGGGTATCTCCGAACAGAGCGACGAGAACGATTAAACTTGGATTTTGAGGTGAGCAGAGCTAAAGGTTTACCAAGAGCTTCTCATTTTTACCATCGATTCGAGAAGTTCTCGAACTTTTGGAATGTATTTTCTACATTGTGATCACGGCTTTCGTGAAAACATGAGAACAGAGCTTCACTCAGATTTCTTTTTTTTTCGAATTTTCAGGTTTTTAACTATCCAGTACATCCTAATTGCATTGGTCTTTGAACGATGGAGCCTTCAAAGCGCTCAGCAGTGATGAGTGTCTTGAAGATCTTCCTCAAAAATGCTCTGCTACAGCAATAATGTGCCATCTCATTGTTTAATAGAATGCATTATATGTGCCTTATGATTTGTGACTTTTGACTGTTACTGAAGTAAATGAAATTTATGTTACTTTTTGAAGTTGTTTTGAAGTTGTTTTTTAGCAGGCTAGTTCCTTGGATTTTTTTTCGGAATGATTAGAAAGCTGTGAGGTGTGACCACAATACGTGAAGATAGGGAATTGAATAGCTGCCTTTCAACTTTTGATTTTGGACATGATGACAGCACGATAAACCAGAATGCTCAGGGCAGAGATGATGATGCGCTGATGTGAGTTTGAGCTTCCAATTGCCGAAAGCGTCTCAGGAACGTCTGGGCCTACGCTTTCAAAAATTTTCTAAACGGTCGATAGCAACCAATAGCTAACTGAATTGTGAATGATCCAGCCCTCCGCTAAACTATAATTAGGTTCGATGTGAAATTTTAACCCTCAGGCAATAATGAACTCGATAAATGACCAATGCATACCCAATGCAGAAGAGGATCACACTCGGAATATTCGCTCTAACCCCCCCCCCCTTGCCCCGTTCCTGGAAGAAGAACTCTCTTTCTTTTCGTGTGTCCTTCAGAGGTGCTGATAAAGTCCAGAATGCGAATCCCGAGTCAACGGCCTCCGCCATACAGTTGGCCTGGATTCGTGTTTTGACACGTTAAGATGCACCGTTCCAACACACCTCCAACTCACTCACTCCTCTCGTGTGCCACCGTGCGGTGGAGCTCAGTGGCCTCCCTCCCATATGTCACACTTATTCTTTGTTTTTGTTATTTTTCACTTCATTACCTTTTAAAGGAAGCAGTCACGATAATTTTCATGGCAACGATAAGGAAAGCTATGTATTGGAGTGGATAGAGGTCCTGCCCAATGTTAGAACACGTAAAGTTTCAGTGGCAGTGGCGCCTTATCAACGGAGTGATAAGGCGCCGAAATCCACTTCAAGTTCAGCCAAGACTTATCGATGTGGAAAGGGGTGCGATAAGAGCGTGCTAGATATGATACCGTTATCGTTATCGTCCCGTTTTCATTCTGGAGTGCACCTCTTATCAAGCAGCCGCACCTTCTTATCTCATCGTATCATATCTTCCATGGGCTTACACTCGTCCAACAATTACTGCCTCACACCTTATCGATTGATAACGCGAGGGTAGCAAATCCAGCGTGGAAGCCAGCGTGACGCTTCCTTTAAGTACCTCAAGTTCTCTTCACCACCGCTCTGTTTGCCAGATTTTTTTCGTTTCTTAAAGCGATAGATTTATTGTGCAAACTGCGTTTAATATGTTCAACTGGGCGATGTTTGTTCTGGGAATCCATAACTTTTTCCAATGGACACCGACAAAAAGGGAGGGGGAACTTTGGGTGGGTTAGGTGAGGCTAAAGCAGACAGTAAGGCTCCGACGTATTCTGAAAAAAAAGAAAAAAGGAGTAGGCTCTAGCACTAGCCAAAATGGAGAGGTCACATGCTGTGACAGGTAAAGATTACTGTAATGGGATAAGCATTGAATTTGAATTCATCCTCAACAGAGGACTGATGATTGGCGGTCTGGGGACATTCGAAAAGGAAAAATAAGCCCTACGATGAACCCGTGACAGCTCAGTATGGTAAAGCAATGAAGGACACCAATGATACGGACACGGCCTTCAACAAATACTAATGAAAACCAATGCGGTCAGGATAAGGACTAAATCTAGATCCATCTTCTTGTTGCAGCATATTGTTCAATAAAAGGTGTATTTGTTCTGAGTTGTTTTTAGGTTCACATTATGGTCGCTCTTTTCTAGCCGAAATTGCGCACCGAATTCAGTCCGGCTGGAATGCTTTCAAAAAGCTAGAGTATACATTCGGGCCGTTCCCCTCCCACTCAAGAAACGAGCATTCGAGTGTTGTGTTACGTCATCAGTGCTTTATGGAGCGGAGACCTGGTCAATGCGAAAGTCGGACATGACAAAGTTGGCCGTAACACAAAGGAAGATGGAAAGAAAAATGCTAAGGTTGACAGTGCTGGATCGGTGGAGTAATGAAAGAATAAGATCACTTACGAAGCTCAGAGACTGGACAAAGGAAGCGAGTAAGAAGAAATACTATGGGCCGAAAAAGATACGTGAAATGGACGAAAACGAATGGGCCCGCAAGATAACGACATGGATTCCATACGATTACGTGAAACAAAGAAGACGAGGACATCCTTACACTCGATGGCGCGACGATCTGACGAAGCAGATTGGGCAGAACTGGTGGAGTATGACAGATGAAGAATACAGACAAGCCATGATACGGCATTCGAATATGAATTGATTCCGTAATAAAACTTTAAACTTTTCTGTTACTATGGAGCTATCCCTGAGCCTCATAAATTGTATATCTTCGTTTTTGAAATCTCTTGAGGACTCTTGATGTAAGATTTATTGGTTAGCTTTCGCTGTTAAAATCTCTTGAAACCTTGACCCAAATCGTGAAATCAGCGAAGAACATCAAAAGCCTGCTGACATCATCGAGACTTTATGAAGAAAAATGCGGTCGGAATCACTGCTCGTATTGCACGGAAACAAAGATCTGCCAGTTACGAGGGACCGTTTATTTGGTCACATGTGAAGCGTGTGGTCAGAAGTATGTGGGAGAAACGATGAGACCATTGTACAGAAGGATTGATGAACATATGCGAGCGTTGCGAAATCCTTCGTCTTACCCAAACAACGGTTTTGCACGACATCGCACGATTTACCATGGACAAGAACCGCCTCCTTCAATAAAAGGTCACTGTGCTACACCGCTCAAAAGAAGTCTCCTTGGAAAGAAAATTGTTAGAGGCACTCGCTATCAAGCGACTGTCTCCAGAAATAAACATCAGAGAGGAGGCCATGGAGGCTATGAGACTTCTGAGTTAACGGTGGATAAAAGCCAGTACTGTGAAATAGTCACGTACTGCTCATTCCCAGTGATTTTTATTTTATTAGCAACTGCACTAGAGTGAGGTGATCATCGTTTTGTTGTTGTCCTGGTTTGTACAATAGTCTGATGTGGTCTTGAATTGTGCTTTGCAGAGTATCCCATTAGCGAGAGCATCGGCCTGGTCAGTTAATGTTTATTATGTTGATGTCTCCTAGGTTTGAAGTATTGTAATATGCTTGATGTGTTTTGTAGGTCTGAAGAAGCTGTTATCACAGCGAAAGCTAACCAATAAATCTTACATCAAGAGTCCTCAAGAGATTTCAAAAACGAAGATATTTCTATTACTGTTGCACTCATTGGTCGCGCTCGCATTTTCGATCTCGTTGCCGAAATTGTGGTAGATGGTTTCTGATTATTTTTTCTTAAATCGGTTCAGCGCAATCTGTAAAACGCATTAGTGTTTCAATACCATTTTCGGGCCCAGTCACAACTTTCGTTCACGAATGATCGCATATTGCTCGTCATCGTTGAATGGCAACTGTAATCCTCTGACATCTGCTGGGAGGGAATGGAGGAGAAGTCTTGGCAAGATTTCCATGTTCTTTTCCTTTCCTATGAACACGCAGCTGATTGAACTTCACTGAAATCCAGAGGCTTTGAATTTCAATATTACGGGCTTCCCCGTTTTTACGCTACGCTAGGAAGTGACAGACCGAGCCCGGAGGAAAGAGGAAAGGCGAGAAAGCACATCGGAAATGAAGGTCCGACTCAGCATGTTGGTGACGGGAGAAAAGGAAGCAGTTGGAGCGACTTTGCAGGGCTTTACCACCATTGTTGCGCACTTTGGCATCAGGAGAACAGAATATATGAGGCCGCAAAAGGCCACCTGAATCCATCCAGGTTGTGCCTTCAACCAAACGACTCCACGTGACAATCTTAAAAGTGGCATGCACACCCGGACTTCCCATCAGCCATGGACCAGAGCATAGCTAGAACATCGACTTCTTCAATCCAAAAACGGATCTCACCCTACCTTTGTCCATAGTTGCCATCGCGAGAGTTTTGGTCAGGGGGTACCTTTGACCACGCCCTCTCTTTCAGGCTCTTGAGGGCGCTTCTCGAAGTTCCAATGCCTTCTATGAGCATGAGCTTATCACGATCTCAGTGCTTACACTATAACTGGTAAGGTGCCTTTTATGAATGTATCTCACAGCACATTCCCATAAATACAGAATTGCTCTGCTTACTCACTTCAAGAATCTTCTTTTCATCTCAACAGCTCTCGCTCGCCGGTCGTCTTTCATGGAATCATGAGCCAGTGTCATGGAATCATACATCATAACGACGTTTTGTGAATTGCAGCTTTTAAGAATAAAACAAAGTAACAGTTACAATATCCAGTAAGCTGCCCTTCGATTCAGCTGGAAACGTCATGCAGCTACTTCAAGAGGTAAAGCGATCATGGTAGGCTTGCTCGAGCTCGTCGATGATGTCGATGCGCCTCGCGTTTTGAAGACGGTGAGTGTATGGGAAAGGCTTGCTTCTGGCCGCATGAGTTCCATTCAACTTGTCGCCCATGTGCAGCGTAGACTGCTTGCGCATATGCGCACCAAGCGACTTTTTTGTCCCTTCTGTGTATGAACTTCCTATAATAAGCTGTCATGACACATGAAAACACATTTTGAAAACGAAACAGTTCGACAAGGCAAGGTGAGTTCTGGTAGGCTTCTTTTCAATCTGGGCTCACTGCCAAGAATCGCTGAAACAAATATTGCCTCCCAGTTTTTTATTTCCACATCATTGGATCCACGAGTAGTGTGTAGGGAACTGAACATGCCGTCGCGGTACCATAAACTTTGATATCAAAAATCCCTAACTTAGATGAATATTTGTAGGAAACTAGGAAGTGCACCGCTGCAGTGATATCGCATTGCTCATGGATCAACTTGCTTTAACCGCCTAAAGCAGCAATTCCTCCTCGGTCTGTTAAAGAGGCAAAGTCACGGGTTTCGGCTCTCTTTCTGACCTATCACTATTGAGACTCATTGTC